GCTGATTAGTTTTTGGCAAAGGCAGGTCCAGCCGTTACGGAGATACGGAGCAAAGAGTGCATAAAATAGAAATAGAGTTTTTGAGTGAACGGAGCATCCGATTTGAATGATCTAAAAAACATTCAATTAGTAATGATTCGGAGAAGTGATTATTAGTTTTTGGCAAAGGCAGGTCTAGCGGTTTCGAAGATACATAGCTAAATGTGCAAAAAAATGGCAGTTTCTAAGAGAACTAAGCTTCCGATTTGAATGATTCAAAAAACTTTCAGTTTGTTTCAACAAAATAATTGATTTTGGAAAAAAAATTGTATAATTTTTTTTTGTTTTTGTTTTTTTTTTAGTTTTTTTTTGTATATCGAAAATAATTCAGATTTTATTTTTAATTCTGATTAAAGTTCTAATATACTTTAAACAAATAATTTTAACTTTGCAATTCACTTTATATAATTCTTATAAATATTAGACAATGTTACAATATTTATAATAATCTATTTGAAAACATTCAGTATCCCTCGAACATTTCGATACGGTACGGGAAGTTCAAGCAATTTGCCTTAAGGCACGATGCCATACACCCCACTAGTTTTAATTTTTATCTACTTTGAGCCACAAAGTGTCATATCGACGCATATTTCGGTGTCCAAATGTTCATAAAAAAATACTTTCAGATATTTATGAGTTTTTGTATTTTGACCAATTGAATACTTTTATTAATATGAATTTATAATATTATATATAAATATATATATATACATATATATATATATATATATATATATAGTATATATATATATATATAATGTATATACATATATATATATATATATATATATATATATATAAATATATATATATATATATACATATATATATATATATTATATATATATATATACTTAATATTGATTGGTTAATATTGATATAATGTTCGGACGTCTTTTCGTTTTATTATATTGGCCATGAAGGTGACAAAACTTCAGGGCATTAAGCTTTACTCGGAATGGTTGCTACCCTTGGTAGAAGGGGTAGCGAGTGTTTTAATTGAACTAGTTGTTCACTTCTAAAAGTAAAGTCCGCTTAACAACATGTAAATAACCAATAAAAATAAATATATCTTCTTTCATTATAACTTAGTAACAAGTCAGTGATTGTAATTAGAACTGCAACAAATACATAATATACAAACAAATTAGTGTTTAATACAGTCCACACCTACAAGGGTTAAATTATAACCCAACAACCTGAATTATCGAAGGAGAGTTTTAATAAATTCTATAACTACCTAACAAAAGTACATATATATCGGTATATACATAAATATATATCGGTGTCCCAGAACTTAACGACAAACTGACACATTGAGACAGAATTGATTGCAACTATTATGAAAAATTTGAAAAATATTAACCCATGCAGTTTGAAAATAATGAGCTTTTAAGTAAACTCTAAAGCTTTGGACAAATTGTGATCATTTTTCGATTATTGTGGTTAATTTCATCATTGTGCATTTTATTTTTGAAATCGTAACCTTAATTAACATTTCTAATATCACAGTAAAATAATGACAAAATTGCTCCAAGTTTTCTAAAATTAAGACAATTTATTAAATTATAAATTCTAAATTTCAAAATTTGACGACTTTGAAAGAGATGAAAGAAGTAAAAGGAAAAAGGTTTGATTTTAATTCAATATTATTCCATAGTAACATTTCAAATATTTTTTACAGAATGAAATTAATTTCATGTTTTAAATGTTCAATTTCAAAATTAGAACAATTGTGAGTTTTATATCAAACTACATTAAAAAAATACGAATTTTGTTTGAAATCGAATTTGATTCCTTATTCAAAAGTATAAATGAATTTTCTGATTACCCAGATAGTTATTAAATAATTTAGTTTTTATCTTCTCTAAACCTTTTACTCTTTTACAATGTTACAATGATATTAAAATTTGAGGTAGTGTTTAGTTTGGAAATGAGTATGTTATATTGTCCATAACATGAAGGATTTTTAATGAAAATATTGCTAGACTTGAGTTTAAAGTTTGATTTAATTAATCATTTATAACTTTCGGTAAGTTAAGTTATAGTAATCGCAAAAAAATCGAAAACAAAAATTTTTGCTTATCTTTACGTTTCAAAGGTTTCTGGACATTTTGTCATACCTTATTATTAGAAAAAATTGTTGTATGTGTGTGTGTGCGTATGATTAGATACAATTTTTTGTTCACGATATCGAGAGCACGAATCAACCGATTTGAATGATTCCAAAAACATTCGATTCATATTGGTAAGGACACGTGTTGATTACTTTTTGACAAAGGCAGGTCCAACCGTTTCAAAGACACGGGGTGAAACTGCCAAAACTGGTAATTCAGTTTTTGAGAGAACGGAACGTATATTTCAACAATACAAAAAAAAATTTACTTGTATTGACAAAATGAATAACTGGTTAAATGTTTATGTTTATGTTATAAGGCAAGTTTAGTGGCTTCGGAGATCTAATAAAAAAAGTCATAAAAATATCATTTGGTATCTAATTTTAATTAAAGTAATCCTTAATCTAATTTTAATTAAAGTTTCAGCAACTTGCCTCAAGGCACGATGCAATGCACCACTAGTTAATATTTATTTAAAATACAATAAAGCACTGTCACAAATTTAGATTATACTAACCAACAACTAATATTGGGATATATTAATATTACACATAAAAAATAGAAAGGCAGCTGTAATTTGTTTTTAAGTCCTTTCTATATAAGGTAGATTAAAAAACGTATTTTTCACGTTCATTATATTGCAAAAATGTATAATATTTTAATATGTTCAAACATAATTCGAAGTGATTAAATTGTTAATGTATTTTAATGAGTAGATACAATTGGCAAGAAAAATTCTTATGTAGTCTAAGCATTTTAATTGGTGATAATTATTTAGAAAAACTTATTCATTCATAACAACATATCGTATTACTCCGGACGTAGAAATCTATAGTGTTCGGGGCAAAAACATTTTAATCAAGAATATTAAACTTTTATGAAATCAAATAGAGTCTTTTCTAGTTGGCTCCCTCATTATGATTAATTGTGGAATAATATATGAAATGAAAACCACATAATTTGCATACATAGTAATTAATAAAAATCTGATTATATTATATTATACATACATACATAATAATATATATATATATATATATATATATATATATATATATAATTTAATTACTAATGTAAGCTAATTTAATGCATAATTTAAAAAAAAACAATATGTCAATACCTCCTATTAAGCATTTTAAATCACACAAAAAATGATCCGAATACAAAATACATATTCTTCGATGAAGAAATATTATACATAAATCATTTTAAAAATTTATTCACCAAGTATAAACTAAATTTTACATTGGTGTTTTACAAGCTAATTTAAACATTAATTCATTAAAATTCAAATCATGAATTAATTTCAAAAAGCTTAAATAAAAATATTCATTAATGTGTAAATATTATGCAATAGTGCAATATTTTATCACCAATTATGATCAAGAGTAATTAAAATGTATATATGGCAGTTGTAAATTAATCACTATCCAGAGAAATTTACTCTATATTTTTGCCTAAATATTACTCATTTAAGATTTTACAGTAAATCATGCCTAATAATTAAATTCCCGCAGGGTAACATATAGTAATAGAAAAAAATCGAAAATGAAATTTTTTGCATATCTTCACGTTTCGAAGGTTTCTCTAAAAAAATAGATGATATGTGTGTATGAAGTGTGTATGTATGTTCGGATACAAATTTTCGTCCACGACTTCGGGAACACGGATCAACCGATTTGAATAATTAAAATAACATTTGATTTGTATTGATGGAGAGACGTGCTGATTAGTTTCTGCCAAAGGTAGGTCCAGCCGTTTTGTAGATACTGGACAAAGTATGGTAATTAAATTTTTGTGATAACAAAAAGTTCGATTTGAATGATTCAAAACATTTTATTTTCATTGTCGAAATAAAAAACTGATTAAAGTTTTGGAAAGGCAGATCCAGCGGTTCAAGAGATCCAATGAAAAAAGTAACAAAATGCCATTTGGCGATGAAGAATGATGATTCGAAATATGTATTTATATTATCAGATATTTTATAGAGATCTTAAGAATAAGTACAAATGTTGTTTACATTTTTGTGTGTTCCGTATTAATGTTTATACGTAAGACTGCGACGCGGCGCTTACGCGCTTCTATACTTTATACTTAAAACAGCTACGCAGCGCGATTGCTTTGAAAAAAGAATTCAAAAATTTTAAAATATTCAGTTTTAATAAAGTCAATTTCAAAATTCTCAAAAATTAATTTTTTTCTTTTTTAACTTTAAAGCTTTTTTGAAAATGTTTGAAATTTGCCTTAAGGCACGATGCCATGCACCACTAGTTTTATACACAATATGATATGTAACAAAAATAAAAAACATTACAGTTCAAAGTATCTTTTCGAGACAAGACTCGAATTGTTTTCGTAATTTATACATAATTGCGTTTAGTTTTCGCGTGCACAATGTGCATACATTCTGCATTTTAATGAAAAGTAAATTATCGATTATGCGAACGCTAGAAATGATTCTCAAAACTAGAAATGAATTAAAATGACGATTGATATTTTATTAAACTAATATATTAATTTTCTAAACAAATTCTTTTCTCGAAACTATTTTGATCTGGCAATACTAGATTCAAACCAGACGTCCGTTGCAGTTCTAACATAACTACCGTTTCCAATTGTTCGTAATTGTTCCGAAGCAATTTTAAATAAATAGATTAATTAAAAATGAAAACACATGTGAGCGTGCGGTCGGTATACATATAAGGCGCTATTTATAATTAAAACGCATCGCCATACAGAAATACGTCATAAAGAATGTGATACAACTCAAATAATATCTACACCATTATTATTTATGTTTCGAACAATTGAAATAATAAGTGAAAACAAGACAATTGTTACCTTTTTAAGGAGGTCAATAATCCCAAATGCATTACTGTATCTCTGCTACATTTAAACACCGATTTTAGTTTCACTCGAAATACGCAACACACTTTATAGGTTAGAATGAATAATTTTGCTAAAGTTTTAACAAACACTCGGTCAGACACTTGCTTCGAATGACAATTAAATTATAAACACACAAAAACTAACTTTTTTTTTCAATCAATCACTTGGAAAAAAACTTTTCGTGTTGAATGTTGGAAACGGTTTAAGTTGAAGATCGCAGTACATATAACCTTTTCGAAACGTCTGTTTGCGCATGCCGTTTTCAGCTTTTTACTACATCTGTGCCTTTATATGTAGTGAAATTGTATCCAAAATATATACTGCAATTCGATGGAAAAACGTGCAAGACGAACTCGACACAACGAACGGAGCGAGTTTAGATGTGGTTTAGATTTTGTACTGTGCTGTGTATGATTTTAGGGCCTTTTCACACCGCGGCGGACATGCCGGATATATAGCGTCACAAAAATATTATTAACTAGTGTTGCATGGAACCGTGTCTTATGGCAAATTACTGGAACTTTCCGTACCGATTTTTTTTTTTAATTTCAGAAAAGATATTTAGAAGAAATATCAATGTATGTAAGCGCAGCGTCGTGGTTTAACGGATAAGAAATGGATTAACGGACCCCTTAGAAGTATAAACAAAATCAAAACAAAACAGAATACATTTTGCATTGCTATTTTTAGTACATATTTTTCTACCCTTGGGTACTTTATACATCATATCTGATCTTAATATATACAGTAAATGTTGATTGTTACTACAGAGAGATTTGTAACACATCTCGCTGTAGTAACAATCAACATTTACTGTATATATTAAGATCAGATATGATGTGTAAAGTACCCAAGGATAGAAAAATATGTACTAAAAATAGCAATGCAAAATGTATTCTCAATTACTGTAATAAATACTTTTGTCTATCTGTCTGTATAAACAAAATCTGTTTTTATTATTAAAATCACTATAAAATATCTAATAATTTGATGTGCATACGTCTAATGATCATTTCTGACCGCCAAATGGCACATTTTTTCACTTTTATCATTGAATCTTCGAAAGCGCTAACCCTGCCTTCCTGAAAATCGTATCAGTTCTTCATTTTGTCAATACAAATAAAATGATTTTTGAATCATTCAAATCGGTCGCTCCGTTAGCTCAAAAACTGAATTTTTATTTATGTCAATTTTTGCCCCGTATATTTGAAACGGCTGGACCTGCCTTTGCCAAAAACTAATAAGTACGTGTCTTTCTCCCGTCAATGCGAATTCAAATCGGTAGATTCGTATTCACAAAATCGTCGACAAAAATGTGTATCAAAACACACACACAAATACATACATTTTTCTAAGGTATGCCAGAAAAATGTAAAACGTAAAGGTAAATAAATTTTTCATTTTCGATTTTTTGGCGATTACTGTAATTTTTACAAGTTAGAAAGGCATCGAAACAATCTTTGAGAAAATATTTTCTTGGTAGTAAGCTCATGTTAAAATATATGTACTGTGTTCAAATTTTAAAAAATATATGTACGAATACATGTACAATATAATAAAAAATATATGTTAAAATATATGTACAATACAAATTTTATATATATGATACTGCGGTGCACAAAGGTATAATTATACAATTATTAATTAGAACAATTATGTTGTGAAAACCAAACTAAATATATCACAACAAATAACACATATCAAACAAACAACTATCTGGCTATGTTCAGTAAAACTAACAGCTAATTTGTCATTGAAGAAATGTGTTTTGTTGATTTTTAAAAATTTATTACCTAGTCCTTTTTACCGCACAGGTAAAATGGGACGTCCAATTGGCAAACAGGTTCAATGTCTTATTTTTAATTTTAAAGATGTTTTACAAAATAATAGCTACATTAACCAATGCAAAATATAAATTTTATGGGTGCATATTTTTACAGAAATAACAATGTATATAATCTCAATCTGGTATTTTGTCAGAATTATTCATCAGTAGAGTTTGAATAACTATTGATTTAATTCATCTCTTTTAAATTTGTTTTCTTTTAATCCTAATTTACTATTTATTTACACTCATATGTAAGCTTCTATAAAGGTTATATAATAAAATAGGTAAAATCTAACTTACAAATAACAAATAACAAGAGTCTCGTAAACTAAACAACAGTGCTCACAACCAAAAAACCCACAAAAAATACTTTTATTACAGATTGTCAAACATTGTCATTTATCTCCTGATAACGATGTCGTAGAAATCAATGTGATGACTGTACATCTTTTATACTCTACTTCCAAATATTGTTGTTAAAAAATTCCTGATTTTACTTGTTGTTGAGATAATGGTGGTAGACCATTTTACCCGCTGACTTTTAAGCCTCGTTTTACCCTATACTAAATATATATATTTACGTAAAAAGTATGCAAAAATATGTTCTTTCTTTTATTTAAATTTTATTTTAAATTAAAACTGTTTTTAATTTAAGCATATTTAAATTTAAAAAACTTATTTATTTAATGCATTTAAATTCTTGCAAATAAAAATTTTTACATAAATTTTTACGTAAATGATTGGGCCGATTCTGCCGTAAAATAGATCAATGTTATGGCAAGGCTATGTTACACAGCGTTTCTCATATAAAATGTACTAAAAACTGTCAAAATGCTATGTGGTTGCTGTGCAGTCAGGCGTTTTAGTTATAAAACCTAACACATAAACCTCAGAAAAAGAATCTTATCTTATGATAGTGCATCTTTGTGATGTAGCATAATAATATAAAGGTGAAGATACATTTTATGTGTAAAATGCCAGATTGCACAGCTAATACATAGCATTTTAACAGTTTTTCGTACCATTTTATGTGCAAAACGTAACATAGCCTTTTCACAACATTGTGTCTATTTTACGGCCTAATCGGCTGCAATATTATTGTCAGCACGGAACGAAAAAAGTGTTTTTGTATAAATAAGACAATCAGAACTAAGAATTTTCAACAACATATGATTTCAAACGTAGGTTTTAGAAAAACTGTTCATAATCTTGAATTTAAGATATATAGCGAAGGGAGCGTCCATTAATCACTTGAACGAGTTTTCAAGGATTTTTGGACCCCTCCTCCCCCTTGGTGATATTTGGTGATATTCAAAAATACCCCCCTCCCCCACCAAACATCACGTGTATTTTTAGTCACGTGAAAAAACTATAAATTTTTTAATTTTATTTAAATGTTTGAACTTTTTTAAAAGAATTAGTTAAAAAATAAATACACGTGATATCTTACTATACACCTCCCTCCCTCACGTGATATTTCGTGATTTTTTGTCAAACCCCCCCTCCCCCTAAAAACCTCACGTGATTAATGGACGCCCCCGTAGCAAAAATTAATGTTGCAATTCTTTCTGACAAGTGAGTAAATTGAAAACCCATCGACGCCGAGACAAGTGTGCAAACGGCTCTAACCGAAGATATCGGAACATTCACACACACTTATCTGCCGTTCACATACGTCTGTCGTGTCGCGCACACATGTCAGCGGAACCTTCGGCGCTCATTGGCCGCACTCGGCGATGTGTCGGTGCCAATGCACACATGCACGCACACACGGCCACTTAGCAGCCAACAAACAATAAAACACGTACGCGTTCCTGGTAAAGTAATTCATATGTTAAGCAAAATTCTCATTTATTATTATATATACGATTGTGTACATAATACTGAATGTGATTTATGTGCATATTCGGATATATCTTGGACACGGTTCGAAGTTGGATTGTACGATAAATTATATTCAAGATCAAGTTCGACTTTCATATATAAAGTCCTTAAGGTTCTTAAGGACTATAAGAAGTCTTAAGGTTCGGTTTTAGTTGCAAAAATAATTTTATGGACTGTAACTATAATCTGCTGCACAAATAACCATTCGTGTATCAATAGCACAGCTAGCGACACAACACTGGTTGTGTCTTATTTTATAATTTTTAGCTTCCCGTGAGTTATAGTAATCGCAAAAAAACGAAAATTTATTTTTATATACTTTAGGTTTCATTTGAACATTTTGGCATACCTTGAATGTGTATGTGTAAGGATTTTCACTGATCAATCGATGTGAATAATTTATGAAAACATTCGATTCCTACTGATAAAGAAAAGCAGAGATTAGTTTTTATCAGAGGCAGGTCTAGCCGTTTCAAAGATACGGGGCAAACGGTGCCAAAAATGGTTCAGTTTTTGAGCGAACGGAGCGTCCGATTTCAAAAATTCGAACAACATTTTATTTGTATTAACAAAATGAACAACTGATTAAAGTTTCCGATAGGTAGGTCTAGTGGGTTAGGAGATCTAGTTGGAAAAAATGCCATTTGCCAATCAAAAACGATCATTGCACATATGTATATCAAATTATCAGATATTTTATAGAAATTTTCATAATAAATTCCGTAATAATGTTCCATTTATCCGTTAGACTGCAGATATTTCAAAATTCTCAAAAATATATATTTTTTTAAGTTTTCAAAAATGTAAATATTTGTTAAAAAAATTTGTTACGGAAAGTTCAAGCAATTTGTTTTAAAGCACGATGCCATGCATTACTAGTTATTAATTAATTTACCATCAAACTAAAAAAATATAATTAATTAGTTATAATTTCATTTGATTTTGCAATATGCATTATTAAATCAATCATCACATATATGCCTTCAATAAATGTTAATTTAATATATAATAAGATGATGTTACTTGTTAAAAAAAACAATTTAATAGTGAATTGCAATGTTTCAGAATTAACATTTTGTCATCAGCTCTCTGCCTAATACATGCATCATTCAACTGTAAATCAGAAATTTCGGTATTTATACATTAGTTATAAATATATTTTAATTTATAATTCATTTCACTAAAAAAAAGTATTTTTTTAACCAATCATTTATTTAATTTTAACACATTCTATACAAAAATAACGATAAGCTTTAATAAATATACCAAATATAAAGTATATTTGGTCAAATAGATACATGAAAAATGATATGATTAATCGACAGTTACTAATTTTATTTTCTTATTGACCAATTTCTTCTTTGATAATCTTGAGCTGCTGCTCCATTAAATCCTTTATTTTCATTGACATATTGAATTTAGTAATTTGTCTCTTATTTTTATTGGTTATTTCGGTATCGCATGCCTGAAAGTAGTCGGTTACATTGCGAATAAATGCATTTCTTTCATAATCGCTTGAATTATTTAATTTCAACTGTTCGATGGATTTTTCTACTGCTATATTATATATT